GACGGAAAGGGGGAGGGAAACACAGAGAGGTGGTGGCCGGAGGGGGTGGGGGGGGATAGGGCGGAAAGAAATTGGGGACCACAGATGGACGTAGGGCGTGAAGAATTCGGGCACCGCAGATGGACCTACGGCGGGAAGAAATCGGGCACCTCGTATTCCAACCAGAATCGCGTCCCGCCAGAGGCCAAAAACGGGAGGGCCTGCTACCGGTACCTGCTCCCAGGCCACGCCCGGCTACAGGAACGGTACCACTAGCCCAGGACACCTCCCGTTTCTGCAAATTATTGAACAGGTAGCTCGTCGCACGCGTAGTTCACTGTTTTCCTTGGAGTTTCGAACTTGTCTTCGCCCGAACTTGGAGTGGACTGTTATTCCTGCGAATTCGAAACTGTGCAGCGGTCACCTGCGGAGTTGTCTCCAAAAAAAAAAAAAAAAAAAAGGGGGCCCACCGGGCGTCAAACAGTCATAGCTGGATGCAGATCTGTTTACTAAGCTACTCATAAAAAGAATGTTGAAGACAGAGGAGCGGCCGATCTCCTCCAGCTGCTGTTTGTAAATTGTCACAGTAGACAGCGCGGACACTTCCACCTCATCCTGCAGCTCAAGAGGGGATCCCCGCAGCCCCCCATGAAGCGAAGTCTCCTTGCCCTCCCCAATTATTGCTGAGAACATTGGAGCTGCCGCCACAAAACGTCAAGGTGTCAATTGTCCCACGGCCGACGTCACTGCTGAAAACACTGAAGCTGCCGCCACAAAACGTCAACGTGTCAATTGTCCCACGGCTGGCGTCACCCCTGTGCACGCGTCACGGGACTCCTGCGTCACCAACAGCAGGCGCCACGTGGCAAACCACCACGCGCGTCTGTCGGGCGCGCGTATAGGCCTAGCGCCGGAAGAACCTCCCCTGGGCGCGCCGCTGTAGCTCTGACGTGGACAACGGGAACCAGCTCCGATACCCGTGAAATCAGACTGCGACTCCGTCTTGCTTGCAACATGCATATATGTATGAATTGATGGCAAATGTAATGAACCCAGGCGAGTTAACACACATTGGACATCCAGATACTGTTCCCAGCAACGCGCGAGCATCAGCGCTCGTGCAGCACAAGTCCAGTGGCTCAATGACAAAGCAACTCGAGTAATCTAGTCTTGTTGATGAATAATGTCGATCAGATCTGTTCCAGTAACCGAGTATATACATACATAGACAAGAGAGAGAGAGGGGAAAGAAGAGACTTAGAGGGAGAAGAAGAAGAAGCCCACTTCTGCTTCAGGCCAAACAAATTCGCCCCCTCTCCAGCAGCGTCATTCCAGACACAGATCCGAGTTCCTTAAAGTGCCACGTGGCACATCAGCATTCTCTTCATCAACGGAGCAGCAATGTCGCCTCAATGAACAGGTACGTATCATCTCATCCCCACAGTTCCTGACCTCCTTCCGGACGACGAAAGTCTGAACAACGAATAAACACGTGGCACAGCCACGTTACCATCATACTACGTGGCAGCAACCAAACCAGCCACGACACGTGGCGCTGCCACGTCAGCACCTTGTAGACAAGAGCAAGCCAGCCACCATGCCAGCAAGCAAGCAGCGTGTCGACGCTGAAGAACGCCAACGCTCAGCCAGCAAGTAGCCAGCACCTCACAAGCC